CAGATAGATGAATTTAGAATATTTTTTCCTCTAGAATTGCTCAAAATAGCTTCACAAATGCAAAGCAACAACCACTGTTTCAAAATGAGTAACAATTGTACATCTCTAGTACCAGTGGACGTGCAATCTATCCTTCAACATATGATTTCTTCGACTTTTACAGTGACTTTTTGAGTTAAGTTGCCATGACTGCTGTCGTTTATCCAAGAGCGAAAAACTGACACTGATTGACATCAACCATACGTCAAGGCTAATTTTGGTATTCTAAGGCAGGAGTAGCTTTCATTTGGTCAAATAGCCAGAATGTGGGGTATGTTAATAACAGTAATTATCCTTATCACCATTTCCTAAACCGTTGACACAGAAAACACATGAACTTGGCATTCCCAATTTATGATCTCCACAGAGTTACAAATCAGAAGGAGGAGAAAACCTGCTGTCATACTTTATTTTGTTTCATAACCATGAGTTGACCCTGCAGTCAGATCTCCTTGGCTGGACACCCATGTTGCACGGCATAGGTAATGATATTTTAAGAGCTTTGAGGAGTCCGGGTAGTTTTTCGTATTTAATATTATACTATATAAATTAATATAATGCATTCATGTATCATCTGACTTTTGTAGAGTAACAAATCTCTAACAGCAGATTTAAATGTTAGATCTAAATTAAGTGCAAATAATGTCCTTCCAAAAATCATGCAACTCTGAAATTCATGGCCAGTACAAGGTTAATATTTGCCAACTCCGTTCACTTCCTGTCATGCCCAAACAGACATTTTACTCCATCAATAACACGTGTTCAAGACCAGTGTTGCAACAAACGTGCACTTTATTTTACAGCTTATTTCACCAACCAAACGTTTTCCATGGTGTAGAAATAAAAAAATACAAAATCATTTTTACGGTCGATACAAGACCGTGAACATGCAACGTGCTAATCCATGTATGCTAAAAATAATAAACTGTAAAAACAACTGTGTTTTTTCCTCAATAACACCACAAATCATCTCCATGATCTGACGCCTGGATCGCACAACAATAAAGCCGTGAATCTGGGTGGGTCAACGGCAGGGGAACAATAAAGACGCTGACCACAAAAGCGTCAGCAGACGTGCGCACTATGCGCCCCTGCCATAAAAACAAGGCCTTCAAATACATATTCAACTGTGTGCACATCATTTATGAGTATTTGCGGATAATTTCGCCACTTACGCTCGCAAAAACGCGTAGAAGCGCACACACGGACTTACCGAGCATCCCATTCATAAAGCCGGCTGCTGCTCCACTGTTAGGCCCCCTGCAGGTTGGGAATAAACGCCTTCATCAATGGGAGGATGAAAACCTGTGACTCCAAAAACAAAGAAAAATCGCGTAAGACGGAGGTGTCTCTGTTTTTGGGGAGAGAATGTGATTATAGCTGTCACCGCATCCTCACTGGGCTTTTGTTGCTGCTGCTGCTGCTGCTGCTCACGGGCGCAGTAACTGAGTACACACACACACATACATCCACACAGTCTCTCACACACACACACACACACTCACACACCACGGTGATGCCTCCTCCTGCCTGCCGTTGTGTCTGAACACGCCTCCTCCTCGTGGCTCCTTAAAGACACAGGCTGACAGCGTGAGGCCACACAGTGGCTCCGTGTGATGTCCTGCAGCACAGGGGGCGGAGTCAGTGTCACGTCCACCGCCAAGAGGAAAAGAACAACACAATAAATCATTGTAGAGGCAGCGACGGTTCAACGATAATAGTGGAGGCAGACGATTTGTTTTTCCTTTTAGCTTTGTAAAAAAAAAATCTGATCTGACTCTTTTGTAAATCACAACCCACAGATGTGGGTGGGTACACGCCGTGCAATTGACCAGTCCATATGGGCCACAACAATCATTCACGCTCACACTGTTTTTACCTGTGGTCAATAATTTTCTAATTTTGAGTGTCTTAGAATTAGAAAAACAACATGCAAACCCCACAAAGAAGCACCATCAGTTACCACCAGATATCAAACCAGTCAGTGGTTCCAAAGTGAAGGGCGTGTCCCCTGCTGGGTGGCAGAGCTATTGGAAATTAAAATGGCACTCGATGGAAATATCAGTTTTGTAGGAATTAGATGCAAAGAAAACAATTTGGCAATTTGATTGACGAAATTATAGACAGATAAATTGACTTTAGTACTAAAGGAAATATGTATAAGCAAACAGAACAACTGTTCAAAACTGTGATTCTTAAGTTCATTTGATTTTTTTTTCTGGAAAGAAAAGTATTTAGTGAATCCTAAAACTTTACTGCTGAGAAAAAAATGAAAATAGTTGGAGGGCCTTTTGTCCGAGGCGGTCTAACAGCATTACACAGGTTTGAGAAAAAAAACGTTTCCTGATGATTTAGAAACGCCTGTTTGCCCTTTGAGCAGGTCTGGTCCAGCCCTTTACAAGCATTCTTCGACGACGGAACTTTCTGGAAACAGCCGAAGTAACACCTGAACATGTCAAGAGTTTTACAAGAGTTCTTTTCTCTGGGAATAAATGTGAAAGTTTGAAAATTGGTTTTCTCTCGTCTTAAATCCACTGAAGTCCACTTTAAGCCCACAAGACTAAATGAAATCCCACACGGGCTGTGATCACGGAACCATTTGTTTCATCCACGTGTATTCCAGCTTAATCAGCTTCTCTGTCTTATAAAGTGACTGGTCATTAGCAGCTTTTGCCATTGAAATGAGTGGGAAGCAGCCGATGTTCACCCCGAGCTATAAGAAGAGGAATGTGTGAATGGCTCTGAGTTATCAAAGGGCAAAAGTCTCCCTGCTCCAGTAAGTGGGGAGAATGTACACTTTCCTCTGACTTCCACAGGCCTTAAATACAAGATATTATTTCACAACTTCAGGGGCAGCTCGGACGGAGTGTCTGTCACACTCATTTTCATCTTTGGCTCTGTTCCCAGAGCCATCCGTCCCACCAGCCGATGAAAGAACAGCATTTTTAATGGTGTGAATTGGACCAGAATGACCTTTGGTTCATCCTCAAGCTGCAGTGAAACGTTTTTTTTCTTTTTTGTCATATCTTAAAGTATAAGGAGATTTTATAGAATTCTGATTTATCTCATCTTCATTAGTGCACCACCTATGACACGCTTCTTCATTAAAAATGTTTTTCTTTGCTTTATTTGAGTTTTTGCTAATGACTGTTTGGCTACTTTTAATTAACATTTGTATATATACATTTGATTATGTTGGTAACCATTGGCTAACTTAGGGCTAAATCCATGCTATATCTTTGCAAACATGTAGCATTATTTGAAATATGAGTACTTTTGGCAAAGCTTGGTTTTAGTTTGATGCTAACCACCTCTTGACTTAGGGCTAACTTTAACCAGTTTTGCAAACAAATAATCTAACTAAACTAACAAAAACTTGATGTCTTGGGTTTACTTCACAGTGACTGCAAGACAATGTGTTCTTTCGGCTAATTCTTTTTTTATATATACCTTTTAGCAATATTTGGCAAATTTTAACCAACATACTGGGAATTTAACCAATTTCTCCCAAAACATTGTTTCTTTATCTTTTGAAAAAATTAGCTGAAGCAGTTTTTATTCCATAATGTACAAGAGTTATGTTCGGATGCGTAGCTGTTCACGTTACATTTGGTTTTTCAAAAGCTAAGTATGTATTTCATAGATGCAATTAATGTCGGCCATTATCATTTGATGAAGAGAGTCAGATAAGTCAGAGATGTTTTATCCTGATTTCTAATTCCTTATCATATCTGGAGATGCTAATTTCCAGATGAGATGAAAAAACTTGTTAAACTTCAGTGTTAAGTTAAAACCCTCTCAGAAATTATTAGATCTCATTCAAACACATTTATTTTTCCCATATTTCCAGTAAATTATAATACTTATCTCAGTACTGCATACTTGGTTTTGCCTCTAGCTGTAATTTATCATTTTTAGTCAAACATAAAAGGATGAGAAAATGAAGTGCTTTCTTTTGATTTGTTTGAAGAAGAAGAAGAAGAAAAAACTCACCCTGTTTCACTAATACTTCCTGGAATCTGGCTACGGAATTAAAGCGTGTTTCCAAAACCTAGAGAATGCATCCCTAAAATATCCTGAAATAAGTTTTTTTTTTTAATTTACAAAGGGCCAAAATTTAAGGTTTTGAAAGTATAAAGGTAATATTTATTCATTTTTTATTCATGTGTCAATCAAACATTTATTTTAATTTTGCTACATTAGAATAAATGAAAATCAGGATGATCAGGATGTTGATCTGGATTAGTCAAAATGTTAAAAAAATATTTGAAAAAAATAGTATATATATATATATATATATATATATATATATATATAGTTTTAATGTGTATTTATGTGAGTCATTTAGATCATTTTAAAATAAGAGAAAAATATCCTAAGCACTTGAAAAGCATGGATGATGTTGCTGTCTGTTAGTTGTTCAGCCCTAAAATCACAACTTTGATCATCATGTCTGTGTGATTTGTCTTTAAACTCCTTAGAAAAACCAAGACGTCTCATTACTGCTACACACTCACGCCACCATGTGTCCTACAGTTTTTCATCTCTGCGTCTCAGCCTCCCTTCACTCTTACATATTTGATGTTCCTGAATATTTCAAAAAGCCAAATTCCAGTCAAGGCATTTATTTTAAACTTTTAGCTAAACCCCAAGACGTCTGATGATTTTTTCCCCCTCTCTCCTTGATTTGATCGTCTGCAGGAAGAGCTTTAATGATTGCGGGGTCAAATGTTGAGATTTCCTCCAGACTAGAAATTCTTTCCCTGCAGAGGCTTCACATTTTGGAGATCTGGCAGCGTTACCAGACTGATGTAATGCAACTCTGTCTCTGTCTTTGTCTCCTCAAGATCTGACAGTAGGTGGGAGGCCTCACTCATTTGACCCAGACTTCATCAGACTTACTTTTTTCTTCCAAACCAGGGGGTAGTCTGACATCACTGATTAATAATGCATACAAGAGGCAGAAGACAGGGCTTCAGCCGTGTCACTCAACAACTTTGTCCGTTCAAGCTTGACAGTTTTCGTCCCTCTAGGACGTCAACGGGTGAGTGGGGAGATCTGAACCAGCACAGGAACATTTTATTTCTTTGTCTTGCAGGAGAATGTTGATAAATGGGTTGAAACCAGGATCTTCTTCTTCTTCTTCTTCTTCTTCTTCCTCAGAGAATTGCTGAAGTTTCTACCGACTGTTCCCTAGTGGGAAGTTCACCATCTACAATTTTGATGTTGATTAAGTCAGAGATCTGTGCAGGCCGGTCAATGAATATTCAACGAGCTTCACACTTAAATCTGAGTGTAGTGGTTACAAGACAAATCCACAGCCAAGGTCCAGCTCTGTGGCTCACTTTTTAAAATCTTGGTAAAAAAGTTTTCAGATTTAATTTTCCTCCTACATCTGTTTTACTTTTTTTTCTCTATAATCTATTTCTGAATCATACGTTCTGTCAATTCACGATACCTGTCACCAGAAGGGAAAACAGAAAGTTCTTGTTCCTTGTTACTTGTGAATTTACCAATGTTATAAAACTCTTTATGTTTACTACAGTGATGTGAAGAGCCAATTCAGTAAAAAGTAATATATTGCCTACTGTAGTAGCTTTTACTGTGAAATCCCTAATATGGTTTGACTTTTCATAGTTTTACATTACTTCACTCTGCTTAAAACAGGCTCTGACACCTGCAGTACACAGACACAACACAGACTGAAAGGTAAACAGTTCTAAAGTAAGAATAAAATAAACGCCTCACATTGTGTTTTCAAAAGTTAGTCAGTAAATAGCTTTCAGAAAAAGAGAAAAAAAACCCCACATTACCATATTCCTATTCACTGGGAAATATTATTTGCATAATTATAATCTAACCTCAGGTGAAAATCATTCCCCGCTCCCACTTTTCTTCTTCACCAACAGTTGAAGACGATGAAAAACTATATTCCGGGCATTGTCTAGACTTTCCTTTAAGATTTCCAGGGTGATTCCCGTGTCTGCCCACTTATTCGCCTTTCCTATGATCAGCGTTTTCCAGCCTGAAATAAGGAGATTACCCAGACACACACTTCCTCCCACACCCAGCTTTTCAGCATGCATGAACCAGATCAGGTTCTTCAAACTCTTCCTCGTAACTCGTGCTGTTGTGCATACCAAGTCTCTGCCCCCGGTTAAGACGCCCGGGTTACTCTTGCACAGTGGGATCAAATGTCGACTATAATCATCTTTGTCTCTCAGACTTTTTAAAAAGGTCTACCGGGGGCTGTCTGGTTGTCCAAAAGAACAGAGGGGCCAGAAAATCAGAGTCATCCCCTTAGAAGTCTGAATTTTAAATCACAACTTTCTCAAGTATGTAGAGTATTCATATATATTCAGGTGAAATATATGATTAGAAAGAGAATTTATTCTGAGAGTGCCACCGTGAATAGGTCAATGATGTACATATTTATGTATATTTACATAGGGAGTTTGACAGATGATAAATCTGAACTTCATAAAGCAACTACATTTATACAGCAATGACCCATTCGACTTTCACAAGATGACTTGAAAGTTGGTATAAAAACACCTTAATAGTGTAAGTGTACGCGGTTCCAAGGTTAGAAATAGGAATGACTACGAAATATTTTCAACACATCACCTAAAATGACCCCCCTTCCTTTTCCCTGGACTCTGTACACCTGACATTTGGCTATACTGTGACCAGCCAGTGACCCAGGAGTGAACATGTGCCAGACTATAAGGCCATAATTAGGGCTATTCACTTGAAAGTGGAAGAACAAATCAACAATACAAAAATAAAAGGGAACCTATTGGTAACTAGAAATTAAAAATGTAGTGAATTAGCTCTAAAAGATTCCCTAAAAATGAACAAAAAAAAAACTGCCAAACATTAGCCATGAGACCGTAAGACATTAACCCAAAATGAAAAGTGAGCTAACACACTAGATGAAATTACTAAAAAAAAAAAAACTCAAAGTTTTAGTAAATAAACAAAAAACACACCAACCTAATCATGAAAACATAGCTACGAGTTAGCTTGACGAGACAAAAGACAAAATTAGCCTAGAAATGAATTAAAAGGTTTAAAAGTAGCTAGTTTTCTTCCTCATCCTCAAAGACAAACACACTTCAACTTCTTGTTGAACCGTCACCGTCTCACATCGTTGGTATCAGACATGTGTCATTATATACAGCACTCTACAATCAGACTGTAAATAGGAAATGGATGTACTGTATCTACAGAAGTTGACACAGACGTTGACAGGAAGTAGTACCTGTGGTAACCTCTAGAGGAAGGACACAGAAAAGTGAGGGAACATCTCCCCTTATGTGAGTCAGTTGTTATTACAATTTGGGCAAAAGTCTTATATTTCGCTGACACATGGTCCAGACTACAGTAAAGGTGCCACAATGCTTTAATGATTCATAACATTGTCACAGGTGATGTTCTGAAAATGTTGGGCTTGAAGCTGATCGATATATAAATATCTGGTAAACCATATAATACAAGTACGTACAGTAAACACGTGATGTGGTTCCTCGGAGAACACAACTCAGTTCACACACCTGCCAAGGCAAAGTCGGACAGAGTACAGCAGACTTTAGAGCAAAACCTCTGATTCTGAGTTCCCTCCTGGTGCACGTCTCCCACCTGTGTGATGTGAATCAGTTTTTGCTGCAGAAAGTAACACAGACACACAAACACACATTATCCGACTGAGGATGATTGGAGTCGTAAAACGTGGGATCGTCACAAAGACCACTCCACTCCAGGACAGAGTCCACTTCTGACTGAGTTTGTCCCTCTCAAACTTTAAGGTCTTCAATCAGAGGTGATTTTTCACTATCGAGTCTCAACAGGCTAAGTGGTCTGTAATCTACTGTTGTAAAGGAGGTTGTTTTCCCATAAAGCTCTGTAATTAAACATTAAGACAACATTGTTAAACAAAGAATCATCTTCTAGAACTCCAGGTTCTTTTTTAAACATTTTCTTCAAATATAATACATGACCAACCCATAAGAATGCTCAAATGATTGTCTTTTTCTTGAAATATACATATATAGATCATGGACTGACCAACCATACACACACATTCACACTCAAACAGAGAAGAAAGCACTACTCAAGAGGCCGGCAATGATTTCATATTGAGCAACATCTCTGTGGATAAATCAAAGTTTGGGAGATAATCAGGAAATGTGCAAAGTATAAATAAACCAACAACAACAAAATCAAAGTCTCCTCCTCAGGGTCCTGTTGTTATTGGAAGGAGAGCTGTGTGTCAAACAAAAGAGGAAAACCCCGCGGTGGGTGTCTGAGCAGCACAACCCAGGCTGCTGGGGGGGCGGTAGAGGGTGCTGTGCTGGCTGGAAGGCTCAGAGGACAGCAGGGAGGGGGTGGGAGTCCGGCTTCCCTTAGGCCTGAACAGTGTGCCTTGGCCTTGGCACTGTGGATGAGGGGACGGGGCGCTCTGGGGGACCAGGGGGGGCAGAGGAGGCACGGGCGGAGGGGCCGGCCGGGACTCCTGCTCCACCAGGGGCTCCGGCTGGGAGTAGCCGTAAGCTGGCGGACGGGAGACACCCTTCTGCTGCCGCCGCCAGGAGTTGTAGTAAGTGGGGTCACTGATGTAGTGGTTGACGAAGGAGTGGGTCTTCTGTCGGCTCTGGTCCATCTCATATTCACTGTCGCTGCCCTGTGAGTCAGAGTAGAAACACCTTAGATATAAAACAGTAAAAATAACCATTTTAGGCTTTTGATAAATCACAGTGAAAGAATGCATCAGAAATCAGGGTGGATTTAATACTGCAGTATATCATGTGCTCAGGGCAGTAGCACCTATTGTTTCTATGAAGGTTTAGGTTTGACAGTTATCATGTTAATTTGTTTACAAAAATCTGTTACATCTGTTTAAATGCTGTCTCAGAGCCCAGCACTGACTGTGGAGTCTCCACCAGGCTACGATTACGATTAATCACAGCCTCAGCTACGCTTTGATTCATCTGCTTAAAATCTTTAGTCGTTTGACAGCCCTGTGAAATACAGGCACTTCCTGAAAGACGAGTGATGGAATTCACAAATAAACAGTTGTACATTTTAGAGTGAAACAGAAAGCTCCTGACGGCAGGCAGAGCAGGCAGCAGAAGTCAAATTTATCAGGGTGGACGCAGCCACTGGGTCAAAACACAGCAGGGACTGTGGAGAGACAGACAACCTAAATGTAGTTCTATGGGCCAGATAATTCGTTTTCTTTCACACAGTGGCCCTTCCACATAATGTATAGTAGTGTGTACAAAGCAGTTCACAATGTAAACACAAAGATATCCATCCATCCATCCATCCATTTTCATCCGCTTATCCGTTACCAGGTCGCAGGGGCAGCAGTCGCCACCCAGATCACATTGCACCGTACCAACCCCCCAAACCTTCCTGCAGGTGGTGAGTCCACTGGAAGGTACCAAACGCCCTAACTGGGATTCGAACTTGCCCAGGAGGTGAACCCTGAGGTTCCACACCAATGACAGAGACATTGCCTCTGGGCCAAAGCACCACACACAAAGATATATGTATGTATATATTTCTTTTTTAAATGATCATGTATTCAAAATAAGTTGAAGAACATAATTAATAGACTAATTTGCATACTCTACACAATCCTATCACTGCTGTGAAAATGCATTTCTTTAGTGACAGTTGTCTGATCCTCTGCAGTGAAAGCAAGAGTTTCCCGCACGTCGTAGGGGTTGAGAAACGCAAACAGTTGAAGAAAAGACAGCAAATTACTGACACACAAAACATCAGACTCTTGGTGCATTTGTGTGCCCGGCGGTCGCCTGCCCATCCACAGCTCTACTGAGACATCACAGCCTAACAGATGTTGAAGCGCCATTTATTTGCACAAGTGGCAGGTAAACAGGAGAGGCTATGTGGAGGGAAAGAATAACACCAGTTTGTGTCTCCCGGGAGAGCAGTGTTTGTTCAAATGGAATTGAACAATGTTTTGACTGTGCAGGTAGCAGATAAATTGGCCAGGGAGACCTGGAGCAAGTGTGGGAATACAGATGTTTGGAATCGGCTCTAAACGGCTTCTTTGCCTTTTGTATCCATCATCATTATCACGTCTATACTCCCTTTTCACTCCCCGTGCTGGACCTCCCCACTCAATACACACACACACTGAGCTGTTGAGATGGTGGCGAGCTGAGATTCAGCAGCTCAGATTAACACGACTTTTCCTGTTTGAGGAAAATTAATTACTTGTAAAGTTATTCAAGACCTAATGAGACATGAGAAGTGGCCTCAGAATGTCTTCCCATGGGAGAAGTCAGTATTAAAACTGTGATCCAATGATATCAGCCATGACTGGCTCACTCTCACGAGGACATTTAATTTGATGTGATCCACTTGAGGCGAATTGTCATTAATTTATCCCTGGATATACTGCCTCAGAACGAGACAACTATCTCCTCAGTGCATCGAGCAAAGTGGTCGTAATGACAAAAAATTATTGAGCTTATAAATATGATACAAATCCTGTTTCCCAAAAAGCGGTCTCACTTTCTAAAAAGAACACACCTTAAGTTAGTGATTTGGTAATGGACCTAAACTGCAGTTTTTTTACTAACTCATTTTTTTGTTTGTTTCCAAAATGTAGAAATGTGAAAACAAGCAATGAACCCCAGAAAATTGGGATGGAATTTAACCACTCAGTTACGTCCCATTATCTTTAAATTACACTTCCTGTTTGGGAGCTGAGGATAGTAATTGCAGTTTTGCAATTAGAAATCTTGCCAATTCCAGTTCTATTACAAAGCTGGAGCTGCTCAATACCCACTGGTGACCATTGTCTGAGTTTCATTGTCATCTTATGCCAGACACTTCCAAAAGGAAGCAGATCTAGTGCGCTGGCGGTCCATCCTATAATCCTATAACCATTTGTTCATATGTAAAGTAAGTATTGACCCATATAATCAGAGACTGTGTTTTCATTGTCAATGTATATGAGTGTAAGCCCAGAAAAATCAACGCCATTTCTGAATTATGGACATTATGGAGTGTATGAATGTCCATTCGACTCCCAGGACAATTATAAAGTCATAAATGATAAATGTAAAGACAACCTTTCTTTATTTTTCTAAGCCATTTCACGACATATCCTTAATTCAAATCCCAATACTTGTCCTCTCGACAGGGTAGGGTACCAATTTTTTGGAAACAAAATTCATTCAAAGCAGGAGGAGGTGAAATAAGGCACTTTTTTATTTAGCTGTCAGCCCCTCTCGACACAGACAGGACATGGGCTGTGAGCCAGGTTCACTGCTTTACCTGAGAGTCAGATATTTCAGAGGGTTTTTCGGTCAGACTGCTGCTCTCTGCCGGAATCAGGTCATTATATTTAGTGCTGACATCCTCATCTGAGTAGTGCAGACTCCCAGGACTGGGTCTTGGCGGAGATCTGTACAAATGGAGAAAACAGGGGAGAAGAGAAGAGTGACTATGATGGCAAAATGTAGCAGTTAGAAAAGGAGAGAGTGAGAGCGAGAGCGAGAGAGAGAGAGAGAATATATAAGAGAATCTTTGTTCTGCCTCCTTTATTACCACAGTGCAACCAACGTTAACAGCCTTGTCAGTCCTGTGACTGACATCTCTTTGATAACTAATGAATTAAAGCCTGGAAAAAAACATCTAGAAATGAAGACAGGCATTTCTGTGATACGTACATGCAGAGAATTGAGAGTTGGCGACCACAGAGAGGAAGAACAGGATTTGGTTTTCTGCCTCCCTGAGAGCCAACTAATACAGTTTAAGGCAGAGATTATACCTTTTTATACCTTTGCCATTTCCTTGATCCTGATATTTGCCAAATATCTGTTATGGGCACAGTGGGGGGAGGGGGGTATGTTCTGCATGAAGTCAGGTAACTTCAACCCTCATGAAACGCAAAGTGTAGAAACCAGAGCATCTTCCCAAATGGATCCTTTGTGGTGATTGGAGCTGAATTACTTTTCAGATGGAGTAACTCATAGATTTAAACTTCATGCAGAAAAGCTGTGTAACTAAGCATGGCCGTGAACTCAAAGTAGTTTAAAGTTCTTTTATGAGAGCAAGTCAAGTAAATAGACCGCTAGCTTCCTTTGACTCAAGTCATTAAGTCTGTAAAGTGAAGCAGCAAGGAACATCTGTGCAGGCAATTATTTCTCTTCTTCTGCAGTAATGACTACTGCTGTGTTCAAGGTCTGTTTAGATTGAATTGAGCGGTCAGGGGGTCAGTCCCGAACAACTGTCTTCACATCAGTGGACTCAGTACGTAAGTCAGGAGGAAACAGCTTTACCAGAACAGGTCAACAAAATAGAAGCAGCACAGACGTAAACGCCTTCATCATCTGTAAATGAAAAAACTTGTTCGTGGGGGCAGATGCAAAAAAGCACGAACTCTGTAATCGCACTGATTAGTGGAGAATACAGCAGATAGCCGTGATGACCTCTTTAGTAATCGGTCACTGTGTACTGAGATATACGCAAGAGCTAAATCACATGAAGGGCCAAGAAAGTCTGATAACACGATGTTTACAAAAAGACAGAGACACAACAAGGGAACTGCTCTTAAAGGAGAAGTCAGTACGGTTATATGGGGTCACAGGGATGTTTTGAGCAGAAAAACTAGGACATTTGATCTGACATGCACTAATTGATGAAATGTTGTAGTTGGTTGTAAACACATCCTTAATGAAATGAGAAACCTGTGGGCCACTTTTGTATTCTTAACTCTAAACTGCTATATATTATATGCAGTTCTTTGTGAAAATGATGTTACATCAACCCAGGTGGAGAGGTAAACGGGTCCAGCCAAAAACACCGAACTGTTAAATCACGTGTGCCAGTACCTGACAAGGCACGAGTTCATGTTGCATTGCACTTGTCATAATTTTTTGATAGTGGTGATAGTTTCTCTTTTGAGGTAACCAAGGAGTACGGACACAGAGAAATTTCAGTCAAAGTTTAACCTGAGTCTTTGACCTAGAGTCACATTTTTATGGATAGGGAATGTTTATGAAGTTTCCATAAATGTGTGAACAAATTAAAATAAAATTGGATTAACACTTATGTAACCTATATTAGAGATTATATAGGGGGCTACATGGGACTACATGTGCTCTGGGGAGGAGCTCAGTATGGTCAGCTACCCAAAACTATACGCACAAACGGCTTTCAGTGCACTTTGAATTTCTTTCATTTGCCTTATCTGTCCAATTCTCCCCACATTCTCCTTCATCCCATTTGAAAAGTCCCACAGAGAGTTCTTCCACTCCTCCTCTTTAGTCCACAGATCATTAGTAAGTAGCATCAGAGACCTTCAAAGGGAAGGAGGGTCCCGAGGCCCTTTGATCCCCGTCTTGTCCTCCGTGTTCAAGGAGAAAAGCAGCAAATTCCTCTGTACTTTAAGCACCCATTCTTGCACATTTAACCATGATCTGCACAGTAATGTGAGAAAAGCATTTTTTATTTCCTCTCTTCTGGCGGCTAAAAGTTGGAGGCTGAAAAGAACCCACAAGTGCAACAGTATGACCACACGACCGTTAACCAAACATGTGACCTCGACACGGAACATTCTTTTTGCTCTAATGTTTGTGAAATTCCTCTTATCATATGTGTGTGTGAGTGTAAACATGACCAAAGAGCAGGTTTGCTAACGTCTCTGTGATGTGTGGAAGGACAAGGCCCCACAGTGGCAGCACTCCCGAGAAACCCTGGACTCAAGGCCACAGAAAAATGGCCCAGCTCTGAACCAATAGCGGCCTTTGTCTGAGGCCCTGATGGACAGACAAAGAGCCCAGGCAAAGACTCATGAATGCTAATTAGCTGCTATTGTGTCGTCCTCCGTTTTAAATTGTTGCTTCAAACAAACATAGAATATCAACGAGGGAGAGGAAGGAGGCTGAAATCGGCAGCTGCGTTTCTTCAGGCTCAGTTCATTTTTCTCATCAAGAATCACAGACCATAATGAGGGGAAGCGAACATTAGGGCTATTAATCCCTGTCCGTTTCATAAGTAACAGACTGTAGGGGGAGATTCAAATTTAAAATAGTTAATAGTCCCTCTGCCTGCAGGATGTGATGCAACAGTCAGCTGATCGTCGTGGATGTTTGTGAGTGTGTGACTCGCCGTGTGTAGATGCCGTTCTTGCGACAAAACGAGTTTTTCATGGAGAGGCGCCTGTTGTTGAGCTCCAGGGCGGGGAAGCGTCCCTCGTCCAGACGCACCATTTCTCCGTGGGTCAGCGGAAGTGCTGTGCAGTTGGAGTGGTTGCCTGGACAGAGGGATGAAATCCACAGTTTATGGATTATGAAACAAGACCGCATTTCATAAATGGCCGGAGTTATCTCGGTACAGGCAAATCCCCGTACACATTCTGGGCATCAGTGCTTTTGTATCTATGTGTGTACAATATAATTGAGTCCTCCCCGTCTATGACATCATTACACACTTTCCACAGTGACTTTAGCAATGTTGACCATTGGACCCATTGTACTTTATCATGCACTCTCCATTACATTGGATCATTAATAATAAATTAGCACGTAGATTTTTAATTGATGAAGACATACTGTACGACTACTGACAAACTAATACACACAGTTATTCCACTGTTCTTGAGACACTACAAAATCTGCTATAGTTAAAGTTTCAAAATGTTGTGGTTAATGTATTAAAAAGGTGCATAAATAATAATAATAATTTCAACATTTTCAGAGGTGAACGGCCCTGCAGTTCAACAAACACTGCATGCATAGTTATTCACGATTAACCATTGCCTTAGACTTGTCAGTCAGGAAGTACGTTGCCCATGTATTAGCAGTGAAAGTGCCGAAAGCTAAATATATTAAAAAAACGTATCAGACTCAAAATAATATGAAACTAAAGTGACATACAAGCAGACAAAACACATGGAACTTGATGTTTAAACAGTGATTATTGCCCCCCCTGCAGGACAAAGAATGTCAGCCACATGATGTTTACAAACACTAATTCAAAACCTTTGTTCACTCTGCCATAACATATTATTTAGAAAGTAAGTATATGTTGTCACTTCATTTCTGAAAAAGCTCCTACATGTAAAATCTAACAGGAAGAAGACGGAATAAAAAAGAAGAAGAAAAAGAAGCAGAAGAAGAATTTAGCACATCCTTGACTGGTTACACACACACACACGGGGCTGGAGAGACACTCTTGATCACAGTGACCTTGTGTGTAATCTGTTGAGGCACAGGAAAGTGCTGTTCACTTCACCTCATCCGCTTTAAAAACTTTACAACTTCAAATACTTGTAAAGTAGTACGACTTCATATCTAAATGTTTGGGAGGGGTAGAGAGGGCCTCAAACCAACTCTTTTT